CCCCGGGCGGCAGCCGCTCGCTGGGTTCCTGCGCAGCTCCCTCCGAGGGCGGCTCTCGTGCCCGCAGGGCCCTGCTGGTGCAGGCTGGGGAGCTCTGCTACCCGCTGCGCGCCCGCAAACTGCGGACACGACACACGGGCAACGGCCCAGGGCGCGCGGAACCGGCAAGAGAATTTCAGACTGGGGGCGTTGTGGGAGGGGATGTTTTTAGAAGCAGTAATACTTAATACAGGCAACCACCAGGAGTTTACAAGGACTTCCATTCTTTTAATTAAACATTTTATGAGTCTTGGAATACATTCCTGTACCCTATTACACATGAGAGCAGTTAAAAATCAGAGCCTTTTCACATTACCATAAAGAGATAGGAAAACCAAAGAAGTCTTCTACAGAAGAACTATTTATACACCAACTGCACAGTTTTTAAAATAATTATAGAAACTTATTTTGCATTAGTAGAATTCTTCCCTCTTTCCTTTTTTTTGGGGGGAATAGGTTTCAATATATCCTTAATATAAACTCCCTGACTCCTAAATTCATCACTCCATTTATGCATTTAACATGTTTGGAACAAATATTAAAATTCCAAGAAATTCAAGATAAACTATGCCAGAATAAATAAAGCCATTTATATTACACTCTTAACAACATAATCATGAGCATTCAGTTATAAGTGAATTATTATTGAAGAAAGAAAAAGAGATGGAAAGAAAATATAAAGAGAGTAAATCATCACTACTGATAACAAAATAGGATGAAGAAATTTTGTGAACTGCTTCAAGACCAAGTTACCCAAACAACAAGTTTCTAGAGCAGTTTTCTGAAAAAATGGTTTATGAACCTTGTTTAAGAAACAAATTACCTAATGAACTGCACATAAGCATTTCTTTGGTAAGGACTTAACGAATCTAGCTTTGCTCTAGCAGGACAGAGCCGGACGCTCCCGCTGCAGGTTGCACACGCTGCTGCGGCCTCCGTCTTTTCCGATGGTCAGAGCTCCGAACCACGGGCCAAGGTGAGGAGGCTCTGGATGCAGGGCAGTGACCCGAGCACCGTCAGGAAGGTATCTGGAGCACCTCTTTCCCACTGGAAAGGCGAGGACAGGCAGACAGGGGAACAAAAAGCCCTGTAGGAATCTCAGGAAGAAAGTGGGAGTGAGAGTGTTCATTCCGCTTAGTCACAAAGGAGGGAAGGACACATTTTGAGCCATTTTTGCTACAGTGTCGCTGACTTCTATATTGAATGTAAAACTTGCTACCACACAAAGCTTACACGGAAGTTTTTAAAGCAGAACAGGGCTGTGTTCTTACTGCAGCTGAGCCCAAAGTGCAGCCCAAAGGAATCAGCCGCGAGGCAAGGATGCCAGGGCAGCTTGAGCGGCAGCACTTGCACACAGCAGAAACACTCACACCATATTCTTATAATTTGGCCTGGTCTGGGGGTATTTACTTGACAGGATTAGTTTTTAACTACCTTAGGTCTCACTTTCAGATGCTCTGCTGATGAAGTCAGCAATTACTGCCATATGTAAATCACCATCTGCTTTTTCTAACTCGAAGCAGTGTAATTTTAGAGTAAATCCAAATAACTTTCTACTCTGCATGCTAAATAAACACATGGTTCAATCCCTCCTTAGATACCAGTCCACAAAGGCTCTCGAACATTCCCATGCTTCATAAACAGAGGGGTTAAGGGTGATGTTTTATGGGAAAAATATAGTCAAGGTGACATACCACTGTCTCCGGAGAATCTGGGAAGCCCTATTAACCTAGGCTTACAGATGGGAATACTCAGGTACAGAAATGAGAAATGATTTTGTCAGCAAGTCAGTGGGAGAAATCATGTTTTCTTTCCTATGTCCTGACCTCACGGAAAGGCAGGGCTAAAAGGCTGGTGTCATTGGGTCAAACCATGCACTCCCTGCATGTAGCTGATGAAGCGGCATCGTAACTGCAGCCGAGTGGCAGGACGGAGGTAGGCCAAGTAGGCTCACAATGCAACTTTGCATCTTGGCTGCCTTTGCAACAAGGGTGTTTTTTTTTTTTTTTTTTTTTTTTAGTGACAGCAGTCACATTTAATTAGAAATGGAGCTCTTAAGAACAGTGTCCTCTACATGTCTCTGTGTTTCCTCATTTCTTTTCGCAACCCGTGACACTGTGAAACACCACTCTGCCCAGTATTGCCCATCAGACACCCATCAAAATTGACACATTCTGAAGTACAGAGGCCACAGCCAGAATAGAAAGTCACTCCCGCTCCCTTACTTGCTTTAGGAGGCAGATCTTAATGCATTCACCCTCTCTATGCCCGAATTCTCAGAAGGATTTCATACTTGCGCTTAAATAAATATTGCATTTATAACAAAAATGCATTATAATAATCTTTGGAAATATGGTTTGATATATTCTGTGCTTTTTGTTAACTGCTTTCTAAAGAAAACTAAATAATACCTAGTATCAGGATATTCTTAAAGATAAATAGTATTCATGTATCTGAAAGGAAAATTTGCTTCTGTAACAAGTTTATAGGTTACAGTAGGTAAAACATTTGTCTATCCAGACAAACGCTATCCAAGAACTGAAAAAAAAACAACCAAACAAACAAAAAAACCCAGGGTCAAGGTGGAATAACCAGGTCCCATGCACTTAAACCTGTGCAAAGTTCTGTTGATGGTCACATATCATACATTTTTATCATCAGTTCACTTGCAACATAAACATACAGGCTGACCCTGCAAGGAGGTACCAGCCAAACCTCCAGCTAGGGGTGAAGAGAATCACACTC